TACCCTCAACCGTGAGGTGGCCACCATGGAGGTGCTAAAGCAACTGGGCATGTGGACTGAGGACCCCAGGTGAGAAGTGTAAGCTGGAAGAATATCCCATGGGAGTCAGAGCAGCAGAGGTGCAGTACCAATCCTACACTAAGGATGCCCTTAGGTGCCACAGGCAGCAGGGCCACCCAGTTCCACCCTCCACCTAAGAGAGCTTCCACATGCAGTCATGTTCAGAGAGGTTGCAGTAGCCAGGCTTGGTGAGTCACTCTAGCTCAGTCCACCTAAGCCCTGGCTTTTCCCTCTTCCTTCTCACCAGGCGTCCCCTGCCCTGGGCTGTCAGTGCACACCCCAAGCGCCGAGAGGAAGATGTGCGTCCCATCTTCTGGGCCTCCAGACCAAAAAGCTACATCTACCGCACACAGGGCTGGGATGAGTTTCCTAACGGCCGCTGGTGAGGAGAGACGCCACTCCCCATTAGGAACTGCTGGTGCCTGGGTGGAATTCGGGGCAGGATTTACAGCAAAGTCCCTTGTCCCCTCTACTCCTGCCAGGGGTAACTCTTCTTCGCCAGCCTTTGGGGAGCTGAAAGACTACTACCTCTTCTACTTGAAGAGCAAGTCCCCCCGGGAGGAGCTGCTGAAGATGTGGGGTGAGGAGCTGACCAGCGAGGAGAGCGTCTTTGAAGTCTTTGAGCACTACCTCTCAGGAGAGCCGAATCGCCATGGCTACAGAGTGAGTGGGGTGAGGAGGAAACTGCACAGCCTCGTCTCAGCTTGGGCTGGACATGGGGCTGAGCTGTTTCCCCTCCTGGAGATGTGCACCTCAGTTGAGGGAAGGGGTAAGAGATCCCACTGAGGAGCCCGTGGAGACAGAGACCAGGTCAGTCCCGACTCAGTGCTGCCCTAGCTCAGCTCAGCGTGCCCTGCAGGTGACCTGCCTGCCCTGGAACGATGAGCCCCTGGCAGCAGAGACCAGCCTGATGAAAGATGAGCTGCTCCGTGTGAACAGGCTGGGCATCCTCACCATCAACTCCCAGCCCAACATCAATGCAAAGCCGTCCTCGGACCCCGTTGTGGGCTGGGGCCCCAGTGGGGGCTATGTCTTCCAGAAGGTACGCCAGGATGCTGGAAGCTCCTCAACCTCACCGGTGCTCTCTGTATCCCCGGAGACCGACATAGACCCCTGTCCTCCCCCATCTTCCCCCCCAACCCCCCGCGTTCTGAATGGCTGTGGAGCAGAGCCAATAACAGGCTCCGTGCGCACCAGTGTGGCTGGGGCGAGGGAATGTTTACATCCTGGGGAAAAGTATAATAAAGAATATGGCAAGGTCTGCCTGGAGGAAGGAAACAGCTCTCAGGAGCTCTGACTGCTGACGAGATTGACTTTCATCCCAGCCCTGCTAGAGCTAACTTACTCTGGAGCAAGGTCTGGAGCCTTGGACTCGGAAGACCTGGATTTAGGTGCCACCCCTGCATTTCCCTTGGTATATCCCCAAACCTGGCTTCCTCCTCTGGGTAACTGTACCCACCCTGCAGTATTCTGAACACGCTAAAGAATGAAGGCGGAGGCCTTCTGCAGACAGAAGTGCCTTGCCCAGCCCGATGGGAGTCATTCTCATGCAGCTGGGATCGGGGAGGCTGGCCTGTGCCAGGCTCCTCCCTCACCCTAAGCTTGTCAGAGTAGAGGCCTCTGTTCAGCTCCTCACAGGCTTCTCTTTAGTGGCTGGAGAGACTTGTACCCCCACTTGAACCACTCCACACAGAGAAGTGTCTTTCCTTCAGCATTCACCCAATTCCATGGTTCATCCTGGTCCACAGTGCCACCTCTGATCCTGCACTTCTTACAGTCCTCTCCCTGGATGGCTAGGAGGACAGGCATCTGGCTGAAAGATGGAGTGGGCACATCTAGTCAGATGTGGAGACAGATCAGAGCAGGCAGAGAAGCTGGCAAGGAGCAGGGTTGACGTGATGGGTGTCTTCTCCCTCAGGCCTACCTAGAGTTCTTCACCTCCCGTGAGACCGTGGAGGCTCTTCTGCAAGTGCTGAAGACATATGAGCATCGAGTCAACTACCACATCGTGGATGTGAAGGTAAGCCAGCTCCCGGCTTAGATGGCAGCAAAGCTTGAGAACACCTACATTTATTCTGACAGTCCTCAAACGCCCAGCCCAAACCAGGCATATTGCACAAGACAGAAAGACCAGATGGAGACAGGCCCCCAGACTGAGGTAGATGAATGTATGCTGTGAATCTGTGTAAGGAGGAAAGGCAGATTCAGTGTAGGATGCTACCGGCTCCAGAGGAGAGATGTCGCACTGGCGATGTTCAGGGTTTCTAGAAGGGATCCTGTGTGGGCTGAATCTGTGTGCAGGTATGTATGTGTGTGTGCACACACATGCATGTGCCCTCACCTGGAGGCCAGAGGAGGGTGTCTGGTGTCCTGCTGTGTTTCTCTCTGCTTTACTCCCTTGAGACAGTGTCTCTCACTGAACCAGGAGCAGTGTTGACAGACTGTGCCTCAGCAATCCGCCTGTCTGCCCCATGCAGTAGAGTGGTGGGCCCGTGCAGAGCCACGCACAGCTGTTTACATGGGTGCTGGGATCCAAACTTGTGCAGCAAGCATCTTACCACTGTGCCACATCCCCAGGCCCTGTCTGAATCATTTTAAGGACAAAGACTAAGCAAAGGGCATTCTGTGGAGAAGGCAGAAGGAAAGAAAGGCACTGCACTGCACTGCCTGTGGAGAAACTGCAGCTGGAAGGACATGGTAGTTGTCCTGCTGTCCTGCCTGAGGCCTAGAGACTGCCTCAAGCACAGGGAGCCTTTCTCCCTGGGGCAGAGGGGCTTGCCTCCATTTCTTTTTTCTGTTTATTTATTTATTTTTCTCTTGTTTTTGTGAAACAGGGTTTCTCTGTGTAGCCCTGGTTGTCCTAGAACTCACTCTGCAGACCAAGGTGGCCTTGAACTCATAGATCCACCTGCCTCTGGGACTAATGGTGTGGACCACCACTGCCCAGCGCCTCCGTTTCATTTTACAAAGATCACAGCAAGCAACTATGGGAGTGGCAAGGACCACGGAACCTAATGGGGACCCTTGTGGCCCACGTAGAAAGCCGGGCTGCTACTGTGGGTCTAGATAAGAAGCAGCAGGAAAGCCAGGGCATCCCAGCTTTGGTCAGCCAGTTGCTGAAGAATCTTAGTTCAAGGCCAGCCTGGATTATAAGAAAATCCTTATTTTGTTTTGTTTTAAGAAAAAGTGCAAGGCAGAATAGAAGTCCAGAGCCTCTAGGGCTCTGGTTTAAGTAGAGGGTGATGTTGTTTGTGGTGGCTGGCCGGGAGGACATACAGGCAGGGTGGGGTTGCTGTTGCCCTGCCTCAGCCCTGCCTTAGCCCTGCCTCTGTCCTCAGGGGGAGAACATCACTAATGCCCCTGAGTTGCAGCCCAACGCCGTGACGTGGGGCATCTTCCCTGGCCGAGAGATCATCCAGCCTACTGTGGTGGATCCCGTCAGCTTCATGTTCTGGAAGGTAAGTGAGTGGGAGGGTGTGTACCCTGGCTACCTTGAGAGCCCTGGGCAGAGAACATTCCCAAACACAAGGCTGAAAACCATACCCCCAGGCACGATAGACTTGGCCTAGGAGGCCCTAAATTAGCTCATGGTGTTTATTTCTGGGCTAGCTGGAGTGGCACTGTCTTGCTCTTTGGGTGGCCTGCAGGGAGACCTGGGGGTGGCAGCCCTGCTGACCCTGCTCGTGTGTTGCTGTCCACACTTAGGATGAGGCCTTTGCCCTGTGGATCGAGCAGTGGGGCAAGTTATACGAGGAGGAGTCCCCGTCACGCATGATCATCCAGTACATCCATGACAACTACTTCCTGGTCAACCTTGTGGACAACGAGTTCCCACTGGACAGCTGCCTGTGGCAGGTGGTGGAAGACACGTTCGAGCTGCTCAACAGGGGCACCACGGAGAAAGAGACACCGGCCCGTGAGGCTGCATCCCAGTGTCGTCCTCTCCTGGAGCCCCTCCCTCATCTCTCCACACAGGGTAACGGCAGCTAGACTGGCAGGAAGCACCCAGGCTCTGGCTGGACCTGCGATGCCCCGTTGCCTCAGGAGACCGATGCTCTCCACTCAAGCCCGCAGCCCATGTTCTTGCAGTAACAAGTCCCTCCATCCTCAACGGAGGAGACCAGGGATAGCCAAGCCGGTGCCCTGAGGCAGCCTCTGGGAGATGAACTTTGACCTGGGGCCTATGTAAGACAGGCAGTAAGTAGGCACTCGTCCTGAAGGAGGTAGGAAGAGATGTGGCAAATGATGGTACCAACACCTCCTCCCTACTCAACAGACTACACACCAGGTCCCCAGGAGAGGCCTGGCTGATAACACAAGCCTTTCTTGCTGTCTTAGGCCAAAGAGTACAGGAGTTCCATGTCTTCCATGGGGCTTCGGAAGATTGTGTCTGTCCTTTAGCTGGGAAGAAAGGGCCCCTTCAGGGTTAAAGGCATTCTGGCCTCAGTGGAGGCTTGCTCTTGGCCTTGTTTTCTGTCCTCTTAACCAGATTCACCTGGGCAAGGCTGTGTGCAGCCCACTCCCTGGCTTCTGAGCAGACTCTCCTGCCAGCTGCTGTCTTCTCTGTTGGGCCTAGACTAGGAGCTGTCCCTGGCACTGCTCCCCAGTCAGCCCTCAGGACTGGCTGCTGGGGCACTGACTGGCAGCTACAGATGGTGCTCCTGACGCCTGCCTCCCAGCCTGCTGGGCTTGTTTGAGTCAGGGAACGGGAGGAAGCTGTCCATAGAGCCACTTAGGTAGAACAGGCCCAGAGGACTGCAGTGGAGAGCAGCCTTGGAGAGACTGAGCAGAAGCAGCCAGGATGGGGAGGTCCTTTTATTGTCCCAGAGCTCCAGGCGCTGGCTCCTCCAACTGTGAGCGGGCCTGTTCCCTCCCTCGGAAGGCTGGGCTTGGTTCTGCTTATTTCTCAGGAACATTTCGTAGCTGCTGCTGGGCCCTACTCACCCCACGCCTGCTACATCTGAGCCACTGTCAACTGTTTCCAGGGGCACTGGCTGCTGCCAGTTCTTCTTGTAGGCTCTGGCTACCAGGCACTGATGCCACTTTTCAAAGGCCTAGAAGCAGGGCAGCAGAGGAAATGCCACTTGTCTCGGGCTCCCTCGAGGCCCTGTATTGGGCCTGTCAGACTGACACCTAAGCCTTGTTCTGTGTGTTTCAACCTTTCCTCTGCCCTGGCAGCCAGCCCACTCTGTCTCTGCCCAAATATCCAGGCTCAGAATAGATTGGACTCGTGACCTAGGAAGCTGTGCCCAGTGATCTGCAAATAAGACGCCTGTGCTGGACCCAGGCCCTGCATGGACCAGCGCGAGGAGCCACTGCCACAAACAGCCTGGTTCTCAGATTGAGTGAAATTGACACTGTGCTGGACTTAAGGTCACTAGTCAAGGGCTCTGATGTCCCGGCTGTGTGCTCTATAACCAGTGACCAACTCAACTGAATGAGGAGAGCCCACGGCAGTGAGCAGGGACACCCCGTCTCTCCCTGGCTCAGCCTGTAGGTGGCACTAGTTTTAGAAGGCAGGCTGGGTGAAGTGAGTAAAGTCACCTGGGAAAGGCCCCAGCTGTCTTCTCTGCTGTAGCTGTTGAGCCACCCGAAGCTGAAGGAGCTTTTTCCACCATGTCCTCCGCGCCTGTTTCAGGTGCCATTGTCTGAGCTACAGAGCCCATCCCTAAGGCTTTGGACGTGAGATGCAGTTAGTGTCTCCAGTTAGCCAAGGCATAGATAGGATGAATGTGAAGCTGCTCCCAGGGCCTCTGCTTGGTAGAGAGGAACTATAAGATAAGCCTCTCTACCAGGGTCCAAGACCTCTGCTCCACCCAGTGAACATCTACTCAGCGCTGCCATGCCCTTGCCAGGCTCCAGGCCTGCTGGGAAACCCAGCTTTGCCAACACTGTGGGAGCCTGTTCCTGCAGGCCAAGAGCTTCCTAGCCTCTTCATGGGTGAAGAGCAAGAGCCCCAGGCTCAGCCAACCTGCCAGAGTTGAAAAGCCCGTGGCCTGAGCGGGCTGACCGCTCCTCTCCATGCACAGCTGATCCTGCCCTAGCCACCTTCGAGAGCCTCGCCTTGCCCCTCGAGGGCCCTGGTCTCAGACCTGCAGAGCTCACCTCCTCTAGGAGGCCAGCGGAGGGCCCACGTAGCCAGGGGCAGCCAGAACTGGAGGCTTGAGCAGAGGGGTCTCCCTGTGTCACCTGGAAAGGAGAATTGGGTCGGGAGAGGATGATTCATCGAGTGTCGATTTAGAAGAAGCCGCCCCTCAAGTCGCCAGGCAGTGGTCTGGCCCAAATCGCTAATGTTAAAAGAAGGAGATTCCCCAAACAGCTGGGACACTCAAGAGAAGACGGACAGGAGCATGTTCCACAGGGCTTGGCCTGAGGGCTGCGACCCAAGGACCCAGCTCCTTACTCAGAGCCCAGGATGTGGTCCCCTGTATGCCTCCTCCGGGTGGCCATGTCAGGCCAGGCAGCAGACTCTAGAACAGGTGACCAGCAGCTGTGAGTCTGAGGGAACAGCAGGATAAACTGCAGTGGGCTTGAGCCTGCTGACCAAGAACAAGCTCCCACCTGTGTGCATAATGGGGTGCTCCACCTGATACTTGGGAGTCCCAAGACCCCCCAGACGAGGCAAGCCATCAGTACGTGGCACTACTCCTCTGACCATCCTCCCCATTGGCTGACATCTGAGCAGAGGCTAGTCCAATAATCGCTGCTCTGTGGTGGAAGTCAAGCTCAGGAGGCCAGTCCCGAGACTGACATTATGTTCCTGAGTTAAACTTTAGGGTGTTGCTGAAGCCTTGCCTCTCACATGTGGTCTCCCAACTGATGCAACATACATAGGGACTCCCAGCACCACGGAATGACTCATCACCTGCACCTGTTGCCAGGGGAAGGTTACCTGGGCATGCAAGTACCTGTGGTAAAGAGCAGGACCCTGGGTACCATTCTCAGTGTCTGCTGTGTTTCTAGAAACCTCAGTTTATCAGCCTGTCAGTCTTGCCTTCACTAATAAGAGGAGAATGAAAGCATATATACTTTTAAAAGGTGGTCGTGTACTAGTGAAATTTCATGATGTTGAGGCAAGAGGACCAGAGAGTGCCTCATGAGCTTGAAGCCACCTGGGCTATATACAAGCTGGGTCTACAAAGCCTGTAACATCAACAATCCAAACAGCATGAGACCCCATGGTGTGCTGTCACCCTGAACCCACATGGGAATTCTAAAACCCCGCAACGCTAGTCTTGCAATTCCACTTCAAAGGCAAAGCCACTTTGACGGTTTATGTTAGTTCCAAAGTTAATTCTGTTCTTTCTGGCAATCTGAAGCAAGACTCTCGGTGATGCCAAATTGTCCTTATGAACAGTGTCTAGCATGTCAGGAACTTGGGCTGAGTCCCCTAGTTACATCTCCAGACCTGTAGGCAGTGCTGTTTCTTGCACCTGGCATTTGTGATTATCTCTTCCGTCTTGATAGGCCATCAGCCTCTCGCTGTTGTGTCAGAGCTATGGTCTTCTGTCCCAAAGGTGACATTTTGGTACAAAAAAAACCCTACTTTCTACTTTATTTTCTATAATGAGCACATTTCATTTTTCCAAAAAAATTTAAAAAGTTGCTGTCTTCAAATGGCTGTTTTTAAAGACTTAGCATTATTTATTTTTGTGTGCCTCTGTGTGTGTGTGTGTGTGTGTGTGTGTGTATATATATACACGTGTGCCCCTGTGGAAACCAGAACAGGTCGCTGAGTCAGCAGATCCCCTGGAGTTGGAGCTTCACAGGGTTGTAAGCACCAGTGTGAATGTGGGTGCTGGGAACTGAACTCAGGTCCCTCTAGAAAGAGCAAGTAGTTACCATGGAACCATCTCTCCAGTCCCCAGATTGTGCTGTAACTGAATTTAAGATCTGGGGGTGGAGCTTAGTGAACACTTATCTATTTAGTGTCTGCGGTCTATGGAGGGAGGGGCATGCATGCCTTGGTACACCCGCAGCCAGAGGACGGCTCTGGAGTTTATTATCTCCTTCCACCTCTCCATCAGTTCTGATGGTCAGGTCATCAGGTTGGCATGGCAAGCGCCTTTACCCGCCCAGATACCCTGCAGACCCACAGACACTTTTCTTTTTTTGAGATCGTTTCGTTATGCAACCCTAGCTAGCTTCAAACTCACGGAGCTGTCTTCTGTCTGCCTTCCTAGTACTGAGATTAAAGGCATGCAACACCATGCCCAGTCACAGGCACTATAAACAGTGTTCATTTCCTTAATAAAAAGAGACCCTTTGAAAGCAGACCTGCACAGGGCTGTCACTCAAGAGGTTTGCTGATGGGTCCTCCCTGCCTCCGCCATGTTGCTGGCCACCCTGAGCTGGTTTGGGTGGTGTCTGTAAGTCTGTTTGTCCCTAGAGAAGTATCTAACCGTGATCCCACTGTGGGCAGAAACCAACTGATTTTAAGACTGGGAAAGTTGACTCCCTCAGTACACACACACACACACACACACACACACACACACACACACACACACA